CCAAGACCATAGCCCACAAGCGCACCGCTGTCGTCAGGCTCTGGCCTGGTTTTTCATTTTGGGCCACCACGTCACTGTAAAAAAAATGTAGACGTTGGAGAGATTTATTATTATTATTATAATATAATTGTTGCTTTTTTCGAACTAAATTTCCACCTTTTATTCTTAATCATTAAGATCCAATGACCCAAATTGATTTTAGTTTCAAATAATTTTTTACACTTTTTCCTTTCTTATTTAATCAAGTCTCCACTCCCAAATTTTACTACAACAATTTTTATTATTTCTCAATTATCCATGATTCATGATTGCTTTCTCCAAGCTCTCAAATGTACTTCCATTTTAATTATTGTGAGAGATTTTCTTATCGTGAGGGACAAGTTATTTGTGATCTAAAATTTGTAAATCTACTATATTTTGTGTGTGAAAAATCTTAATTTCCCTACTTATTTGGGTTTCATTCTTGAAACCGGTAAAAAAGAAGGGAGTGTGGTTTTGATCTTTGTCTCGTGAAAAAGGTTGGGTTTAATTCTAGATCCCGTAAAAAGAGCGGTTTRTAATGTTTAATCTTGATCCCGTAAAAGGACTGGTTTTAGGATCTTAAACTCGTAAAAGGATCGTATTTAGTAAAAAATCTCGAGAGGTGCACAAGGAGTGGGGTAGGCCGGGGGTTGGCCGAATCACTATAAATATCTTGGGTAACATCTTCTCTATCTCTATACTTTTTATTTATTGTAATTTATTTTCTAACATTTCTTTTATTGCAAATATATGTTGCGCTCATCTTGAATATTTATTTTATGATAAGTATAAATTATGCATAAATTGTTTTTACTTACAAAGTTTACTTAGTTATTTGGTTTGTGCTTAAATTTGAAAAAGTTTGACAGATTGATGTTCAACAATATTCATCCCCTCTAGTGTTGCCATACAGATCCAACAATTGGTATCAGAGGGGTTGCTCTTTTTCGAGTAAAAAATATATTTAAAAAATTATTTTGTTTGATATCTATTGTTTGAGTTTCTCTCCAACAAATGATATTGTAATAAGATTGCTTGTATTTGAAAATTTTATTTCAAATAYTCTGTTGAAAATTATTTGTTAAAATTTTGAAATTATCTTTGAAAATAATTTTTGAAAAAATTTCAAATCTGAGTTGTTAGAGCATTATGACAAATTTTGTGGTAAATGAAATTGTTGAAAGTCAATCTCCCTCTAGACATCCTTTCTTTGATGGCTTAAATTATGCATATTGGAAAAACTATAATGAAAATTTATTTGCAGTCTTATTGACTTTAWTTTGTGGTTAATTGTTGCTAAATGTCCTTTTATTCACACGAAGAAAGTTGATGATGAAGAGGTGCCTCTAATGAGAATAATAATGTAGATGATGAAGAAATTACAAATATGTGCTTTATGACTTTTGGAAAKGAAGAAGAGGACAAGAATGAGCTAAATCTTGAAAACCTCCTTATGATGAGCTTATGAATGCATATGAGGAAATTAGAATTGAATTTGATAGTCAAAATATTTAGCTCTAAAAAAGAAATATTCTAGCATGTTTAATGACATTAAATCTTTAGAAAATGAAATAGGTGCTTTAAATATTGAAAATAATTCTTTGGACGAASAAAATGCATGCTTGAAAAGTAATGTCAATGATGTTGTAAAACATCATGTAATTGAAATTTCATATGATGAGGAGAAGTTTGCTTTATTAGATAAAATTAAATTCCTCGAGCATGACATTTTTTATAGAGATGAACTTGTTAAAGCTCTTAGAGAAAAAGAGTAAGAAATTGACAATAAGTGCAAAAAGTATTAGATAAAATTATTAACATTGGCAAATTCTGTTATGATAAAAAAGATTAGGTTACGTTAATGAAAGTTCTATTCCATCTACTTCAAAAATAATTTTTTTTGTGAAAGCCTYATCTATTATGCATAATGAAAATTTACCAAATGTTGTGTCAAAGTGTGATATGCATAAGCATGATGTACCTAAATTTATGCCTAATCATTTTCGTGCTAAATTTAAATTTATGCATAATGTTAAATTTGTGTCTCCATGTCATTATCGTGGAGTTAAAATCATATTAGACCAAATTGCTATAAATTGAAAAATGCTCCTAATTATTATGCAAAAAGAAATATCTCCCACAGACCAAAATCYTTACATGCTTATAGAAAAAGTTCTTTTGTGAAAAAGAATGTGCATAAATTTCTTGTAAAAGAAAAAATTCATGCATAATATCTTGTGTTTTTCTTGTGGCAAATTTGGATATAAATCTTATGCTTGTTATTTGTTCAAATTGAATGTTATGAAAAATGGAACTAAAAAGAAATGAGTTCCAAAAGTTAATTTTACTAGCCTATATGGACCAAAATTCAAAAAATTTGAATGSTTGCTTGGTTGAAAAATGAATTTATCACAAAGGCAACCATATAGCTCTCTTTYAGTGCTTTCAAATGGAAAATCACCTCATTCGGTAACTTTGTTTATTTCAAAATGAGCATTGAAGATCTTTTTTAAAAAAATATTATTATGATATTTCTTTGACGATTATTTTGAAGTATCGACTTTTTTGTGGAAYGATTATTTTTGAATTTTTCGAATGTTATAATGATGTTGAAGAAATTATTTGATTGTTTGAAATTTATGAAAAACCTATATATTTAATAATATTTTGATACTTGAAATTAATGGTTGAATTCTTTTTTATAAGGAGAGTTCTAATAGCTTATTTGTTTAATTTCTTGAATCCCTATTTGTTAATTAGTAGAATTGTTTGCTTTCATTGTTTAAAATTGATACTTTTTTTTTTCTCAACAAATTGATTTATTCTTTTCAACAATTGGTATATCTTTGGTACATTTTTTTAACTATTGGTATAATTGGATGGAAATTGATATATCATTGATTGGAACAAATTTGGTATCTTGTTTAAGTCATTATCTTGAGTTTCTTGTTGGATTTAAAGGCGTGAAAGAAAGTGTAAGAAACTTATTCACATATACGTTGTGAATATGTTTGTGGTTTTGTTTCTTTTAATATTAAATTTGGAGTTATTTATTTAAATGGAAAAGTTGTTTCTTTATTTTGTTAATTTGTAACTTTATATATGTTAAATTTACACATGTAACATATGAAAAAAGGTTACGTATGTGTTTAATTTTGTGTGATAGGTTACATGTTTGGACAACTATATATAGTTGTGTTTCCTTCATTTTGAGATATCCAAGCATACCTTAATTGAGTATTTTCCTCCTATCACAAAAATTCTCTATTCTTTTTGAGTTCTTGTTCTTGTTTGKGTTGAGAGCAAGTGTCTAAGAGTTCTACCAGATCCGAGTAGATTGAGGTTGCAGTTCTGTAGGAGTTAGTCGTTGTATCCTGMTGAGACGATCGCAGTAGTCTGCTAGCAACTTGTGTAGAGCAAATAATTGTCTTTAAGTCAGTGCTATTGAAGCGTGCCTTGACTATATTTATCAAGTTTGGTGTTTGTCAAGTCATTCGAATTTGTATCCTTTGTAGCTAGTTACTTGTAAATTGTTGCTAGTGTTATTTAGTTTACATATACAACGTGTATTTACCCAACAATCTGAAGACAATTAACTGATGGCTGCTGTAATGCCCCGCGTTCTCTGACTCGTTTATTTTAAGAGATAAATAGTGTCTTTGGATTTTTCCCTAAGCTGATAACTTTAATTCTTGGATTTTATAATTTTGAAATTCTAATTTTTGGCTAAATTAGAATTAAGTTTAATTTCATTGGATTAAGATAATTTAAGTTCTCGACCTGTATAGGAGATTTTTTAGTTAAATCTTAAATTCACGGGTTTTAGGATTTTTTTTTCCTAAATTCTACTTTTTCTGTGGATTATTATTCTTGGGTTTTAGAGTTTCAATTAACTATTTTATTTCGGGTTGTTGTGGGTTTTATTTGATTTCTAAAGTATAATTATTGGGCTTATTGTTTTGGGCCATTGTGTTATCTAGTTGGGCCTCCTTTAAGAATAAGGGATTGGGCTTTTAGTTTTTAAAAGAAAAAGAATGTAAATTAAAACAAAAATAAAGGAAAGGAAACCCTAAGCTACCCCACATCTCTTTCTTCTCCATTTGTTTCAGCCGCCCCCCCTCTCTTTGTTTTCTTCGGCGAGGTAGCGGCGGCGATCGGCATCACAGGCAATGGCAGCAGACGGCGTCACCGACAGCAGTGTTTTTGGTAGTGTTTTTCTTCATTCCGGCGATATTCGACCCTTACCCACACCTATCCGAACTAGATCTAAGCTACCCACATATAAG